AACGTGGGAGCTCCCGCCAGGCGCGGTAGACCCAACGCGGCGAGTGCCCTACCTAGATAAATTTGCCGTTCTCCGGAAAAGCCAGGGCGCGGGCGGCGTGGCGGACATAGTGTTCAACGCCATGGTTCGTGACTGCTTCCCCCACGGCGTATGCTGGAGGAGTCGAAAAGACAATCCTGTCAACAAGTGGTATTTTGAACGGTCGAGGGGTACGCTGAAGCTCAAGGATATGAACTGGACCATGTTCTGGACGACTCCCCAGCTGGCGATGGATGATCAACGGTTTGTCGACTACGAGGCTGTGTGTCGCAGTATCGAGCCGTCATGGGCGGACAAGAAACATGTGGTTGACTGAAACGAATTATTATAAAATCTATAGAGAACTATTGAGTGCTTCTATATAAATAGAATACCCTGACTTCGTCGACGTTCATACTTCTCCGCATGTTCTATCCAAAGTCGTGTCTTTATGTAAAATGATCGAGGGTCATGGTATGTGCTAGGCTACCGGTTACATATGCGCTCGATCCATGATTCGCCAGAACTGTTCAAGACCATACAAACAAGCTCGAAAATTTTCCACTTCATCTACTACGGTACTATGTCAGGTTCTCGCACGTTGGGCTGGGATATGGCGTCATCCGGTTTTGCGCGCCCACGACAACTAACTTGGCAGATGTCTATCTGGGGAGCTAAGACTATGTCTATATGTGCATCTGGCCAATAACTTTATGCTTCACGATCAAAGAAAGCCACCGGGCACGAACTGATTAGGTGCCTACTGTACTCTGACTTGCTTCACGGCGGGGCGGTCAGCATAGTAAAAGAAAAAAATGTCAACAACCCCACCACGAGTCGAGCAGCGCGCCCACTAACTTGATCGGCAGCGATAACAACGGGAGGCGGGGTGATAAGGCGATTGGGTAGGGGGTGTTCCTAGCCGCCACGGTCCAGGCGGCTGTGAGTGGGACGGGCAGTGAAACGGAACCTCATTGGTAATGGACAACAGTTCGAATGAAAATGGCCGTCTCTGGCTAGGAATTTTAGGCAGGAAGAAGTGTGGCGATAGAGAGTCAGCATTTACCGCAGCTTGGCGGCATGTTTTCTAAGTGTTGCCTTCAAGACCTATTGTGAAGTACATCGGCAACAGACAGGGTGGGCAATAATTACCCGAAAAGGTACCTACCTTAAAACCTACAACTACACAAGTGGGCTTCTTATGGGAAGAATGAGGCTGCCTAGACGGTGTTCTGTACATGGTGCGCGTGCTTTCCATCCCTAGACTCGTGCGCAAATGCGTTTTGGATCTCAGTGGTGCTGAGTAGGTGCTGCTTGAAGCCTCTAGAAGCTTCGTGCCTGCCAAAATACGCCCCGCATAGGGGTGTGGCTAGGGAGGGGTAACCCGGGTGAGGCTAGACTGCACGCCAAAATTGTACCACAGCCGCCGTCCCTCTCCCGCCTTATTAGGTAGGTAATCTGTACGCTGTAGTGCGCATTTGGGCAGCTTTTTTTTCTTCTCCCTCCTTTCAAGAATCGCACTTCTATTGATTTAGATCGTTCCCAGACCCTGCAGACGACCGGTCTCACAGCGCATTTTCCGTACACCCCGACTTACCGGCATCGATCTTCACCGCCTGGGTCCTGCCCGCTTTCGACTTCTCTTGTTTGCTGCTTCGTCTCCTCTTGCCTTTAAGGCTCGACAGCACGCCAAATCTTCGCCCGGCTACGTTCGACGAAACCACTCCTACTCGTTGACGAGCATATAAACACCATGAGTGTCGTTGGTATGTTGGCCCTATATCCCTTTTGCGCGTTGCCTGTCTTCTATCTACTGACGCCCGTGTGCTCCAGGTGTTGATTTCGGAACTCTCAACACGGTCATCGCCGTGGCGAGGAATCGGGGTGTTGATGTTGTACGTACCATCGCTCTCTTTCCCATGTCCAGTCTATAATAGTAAGATTCAGTCCACGAGACTAACAGATTGCTTGGTCGGATAGATCACCAATGAGGTTTCCAACCGTGCCACGCCGTAAGTGTCACACCCGCGCTGCTGATGGTCGTACCTGTTGATGATCACTGTACTAACGCTTGGCTTTCAGTTCCCTCGTTGGCTTCGGCCCCAAGTCCCGCTACCTCGGCGAGCCTGCCAAGACACAAGAGATCTCCAACCTCAAGAACACAGTGTCGTCACTAAAGCGCCTTGCCGGACGCGCTCTCAAAGACCCTGACGTTCAGATCGAGCAGCAATATGTCTCGGCCGCCCTTGTGGACTGCAATGGCCAAGTCGGTGCCGAGGTCTCGTATCGGGGCCAGAAGGAGAAATTCTCAGCCACACAGATTGTCGCCATGTTCCTAAGCAAGATCAAGCAGACCGCTGCTGCTGAGCTTAAACTTCCCGTGAACGATGTTGTTCTAAGCGTGCCGCCTTGGTTCACCGACGGTCAACGACGGAGCATCCTCGACGCTGCCGAGATTGCTGGGCTCAAGCCGCTGCGGATCATGAATGACACGACGGCTGCCGCCCTGGGTTACGGTATCACCAAGCTCGATTTGCCTGCCGAAGACCAGAAGCCCCGCCGTGTCGTCTTCATCGACATTGGCCACAGCAACTACTCCTGCTCCGTCGTTGAGTTTAAGAAGGGCGAGCTCACTGTCAAGTCTACTGCCTTTGACCGCCACTTTGGTGGTCGTGATTTCAATCACGCTTTACTGAACCACTTCCAAAAAGAGTTCAAGGGCAAATATCGCATTGACATTGCAACGAATCCCAAGGCCATGGCTCGCGTCGAGGCTGCTGCTGAGAAACTCAAGAAAATCCTGTCCGCCAACCAGCAGGCGCCCCTAAACATCGAATCGCTCATGAATGACATCGACGTGAATGCTATGGTTACGCGGCAGGAATTCGAGGCTCTCGTTGAGCCCCTTCTAAACAAGATCACGGCCCCGCTAGAGCAAGCGCTTGCCGATGCCAAACTCACCAAGGACGATATCGATTTTATCGAGTTGGTTGGTGGTAGCACTCGTGTCCCTGCAATTAAGGAGCGAATTCAAGCTTTCTTCGGCAAGGGCCTCTCCTTCACACTCAACTTGGACGAGGCGATCGCGCGTGGTTGTGCATTCGCCTGTGCTATCCTGTCGCCTGTCTTCAAGGTTCGCGACTTCTCAGTTGCGGATATTGTCCACTATCCCATCGAATTCTCCTGGGAGAAGGATGTTGACATCCCCGACGAGGATACCAGCTTGACCGTCTTTAACCGAGGCAATGTTCTACCCTCTACTAAGATCCTAACATTCTACCGGAAACAACCTTTTGACCTAGAGGCACGATACTCAAAGCCTGAGGACCTTCCTGGCAAGGTCATTCCTTTCATCGGTCGTTTCTCGGTCAAGGGAGTCAAAACTGATCCGAAGACGGAATTCATGATTTGTAAATTGAAAGCTAGGGTCAACATTCATGGTATTCTAAACGTCGAAAACGGATATTGTGTTGAAGACCAAGAAGTCGAAGAGGAGATCAAGGAAGAGAAAAAGGAGGACGGCGAGAAGAAGGACCCCGATGTGAGTTTTCACCATCTCTCAAATCAATAAATTGGACGCCTCTAGATATCGTGAACTAACATCATCGCTTTAGGCGATGGACACCGATGACAAAAAGGAAGAGGGTAAGCCCAAAACGCGCAAGATTAAGAAGCAAGTTCGTAAGGGTGAACTGCCGATCGTCGCTGCCACTACTGCGCTTGACTCCAACACCAAGAACGGTCTGCTCGAGAAGGAGGCGGCGATGATTATGGAGGATAAACTAGTTGCCGACACGGAGGAGAAGAAGAACGAGCTCGAGACATACATCTATGATATGCGCAACAAGCTAGACGACCAGTATGCCGAGTTTGCCAGCGAGGAAGAGAAAGATAAGCTAAGGTCCAAGCTTACTGAAAGCGAAGTAAATTCCCCTCAATCTGCATATCATGGGTCGGCGAGGCTAACTCCTTCGTAGGATTGGTTATACGAAGAGGGCGAAGATTCGACCAAGGCTGTCTATATCTCCAAAATAGATGAGATCCGTTCTATGGCTGGTCCCATCACGCAGAGATACTTTGACAAGGTAGAGGCGGACCGCCAAGCACTGCAAGCTAAGCTTGATGCTGAAGCGGCAGCAAAGAAGGCTGCTGAAGAGGAAGCCCGCAAGGCAGCAGAGGCGGAGAAGGCTGAGGCTAGCAAGGATGAAGAGATGACGGACGCCGAGCCCGCTAAGGCTGATGTCGAAGAGCTTGAGTCTTAGGAACATATCGACCCTGAAGACGGGGCCTGAGCGGTACGGATAACATCTTGCAAGTAACGAGGCGCTGCTGGAAATTGTGGCGTCAACGACGACAAGAACCCTAAAAGTAATGATTGGTATGAAGAGCCGGTCGGAACGGAACGGTTCAACGATGGTTTAGGAAGATTTCTCATCCTATCCCGACCGGATATTGGGGGGTTAGAGATAGACTACGCCCGCCCAAACAGTACACAAAGCTGGCTGTAGACTTATGATAGACCTTGTTCGGATTTGAATTTATTTATGGCTTGTTATCTGCATGCCTTCGATCAATGTGATATGTGACAATAATGTGTAGCGAACTGCTGTGTGATACTCGTCCAACCAGGTGTGCAGGAGTAGTAATCGTTGCTCGTTCTATATTTCGTGCAAGCTCCAGTAGTTTAAACTTATTTTTCGAACAACCAACGGGGCTTACTGTAAGAAACGAAAAATCGAAAAGCAATCATCATTGAGTTGTATGGAATCCAATGCTATAACAGCTTTTAATCAACATGGCACCTTTGAAGAGAACGAAAACACAACGTTTGGCTGTAAGTAATAGTGGATTTTGTTCTATCTCGAAACATTAGGTTTGCACGCGAGCCAGGCTTATCGCCTTCCCCCCACCTTTCCCCGCCACGGCCCATGCTTGGCATTTATAAGTTTGCCGTAAAGCGCCGTACACCATCAAGCAGCAAAGGCTTCGTGGCCTAATGGCTAGGGCGCTAGATTTCGGTTCTACAACAGATTCTCTAGAGATTGTCGGTTCGAGTCCGGCCGAGGTCGCTTTCTTTCCTATCCGAATTGGTGTAGTGGCTAACATTTGACGCTCTCATACTGTGGAGTACCGTCAAGCCCGGGGTTCGATTCCCCGATTCGGAGTCCTTTCTTTTGCTGAAATTACCGCGATGAGGCTTATTTTTATTCTTTTTGGCTTATTGCTTTACCGAATATTTTTCTTTAGATTCCACAATTCTGAGAACTCGCAATGGGTTTCTATCCCAAGTAGCCAATTCATGTTAATTCCTATCGATAAAAGATAAGATTTCGGTTAAGTTCTTATCGACCTGTGGCGCTTCGGACTTTTGGTACCTGCCCCGGGAACAGCGCCGCAAAGATCACAAACAAATTTATGGAAACTGTGCCCCGCAAAGCGGCGTCATAAGCTGGCCAGCCGCTGCCGCCTTGACCCTCCCACACTCACTCACCCACTCCACCTACCAAATACTTGGCCCTATCCAATAACCCTCTTTTTTCGACTTCCAACGGAAGCAAAAGTAAGAGACGCATATTTTCTCCCTCCATTTCAAGTGCATTCTGCCTTGCCATCGCCTTCGGAGATAAGCTTACGAGAGCGAGCAATGTCTTGGGATCTTCCTGGGACATGACTCTAAGCTGGATCCTCTCACCTGCCCCTCATCCGCCCGTCTCCGTCGTCTAGACTTCGAACCCGCCACCCCACCTCGCCTTGCCGCGATTATTCTTCTTTTTTTTAAGGCCGCTCGTAATCGCCCCTTGATACGATTTCTGGATTGAGGACGATCTTTGCCTCCACCTGTCTGCATCGATTGCATCTTGCTGCGACTCTCGACACCCTCCAGTAACGCATCTGTCAGACTAACAAGATGCCGCCGAAGAAAAAGGGAGGCAAGAAGGCCGCCGAGGATTGGGAAGCCGACCTTGGTGAGTCTATTGCGCCGACAAACGGTGACGCCGACCCGGCCGCTGCTGCACCCGAAGAAGAGCCCGAGGACGGCGATGCCCCCGTAGGGGGCCTCATGGCTATGTTGAAGAAGAACAAGGAGAAGCGCAAGAAGAAAGGCCTGTCCGAGAATTTCGTCGATGGTGAATCCGCGCAGGCCGCTACGCCGGAGCCCACTGACATCAGCGCCTTCAAGCCGCCACAAGAGGCGACCATGGATGACGAGTTTGCCTTGCCGGGGAAGAAGGGAAAGGGAGGAAAGCAGAACAAGAATCAACCCGCTGCCAAGGCTCCCGCCGCTGCCGATGATGATGATGTGGGCGAGACGGGCAAGATGCTCACCAAGGCCGAGAAGGAGAAGCTGAAGAAAGAGAGAGAAAAGCAAAGAAAAAAGGAACAGGTCAGTGTTGCTATCGTAGATACCTGTTTTTCCAAGGCTTAACACTTTATTGTTGCTTCTAGGCTGCGAAGAAAAAGACCGCCGCGCCTGAACCCGCACCCGCTCCCGCTGCCAAGGCTGCCGAGCCTGCTAAAGCCGCTGTCGAAGAGAAGGAGGCTCCAGCACCGGCGGCCGCAGCAGAGGCACCCGCGAAGAAAGGCAGAAAGCTTCCACCACATCTTGCTGCTCTTCAGAAGCAACAGGAAGCATTGCGGCGGCAGCAAGAAGAGAGCGAACAGGCCGCTAAAGCTGAAAAGGCCCGCATCGAGGAAATAGAGAGGTTGGAAGCGGAAGAGAATAAGCGAAAAGAAGAAGAAAAGGCTCGCAAAAAGCAGAAAGAAAAAGAGAGAGTTGAACAGCTCAAGAAGGAAGGAAAGTACCTTACCAAGGCGCAAAGAGAGGAGAAGGCTCGGAACGAGAGAAAATTACAGCAAATGATTGCTGCTGGCCTCCAGGTTGGGCCCTCTGAAGACGGCGAGGATAAGAAGAAGAAGGTCACCTATGATAGCAAAAAGCGTGGCAAAAAGAATGATCAAAAGGTTAACTCCCTTTCTTTTATCTACTGCTGTCTTTACTGACTTTGTTTAGGTGGATGAAGAGAAGGTCCTGGCTGAGGCTGCTGAGCGGGCGAGATTACAGGCCGAAGCCGCAGCAAAGAAGGCTGAAGAAAAGGCCGCAAAAGAAGCCGCTGCGCGTGCGGCTGCCGAAGAGGCTGCAAGGAAGGCGCAAGAAGAGGAAGAGATCGAAGAGGACTGGGAGGCAGCCGCAGCCTCGGACGAAGACGTCAAGGACAGCTGGGATGCAGATTCAGATGAGGATGCCGAAAAGAAAGCTACCGCGAAGGGATCCACGACTACTTTACCTTCACGATCTAAACGGACGGAAGCCGAGTCCGAGTCCGAGACGGAGGAGGAATCTTCCGAGGACGAGGAACAAACCGCAGCTCGAGCCGCTATAGCCCAGCGTAAGAAAGAAGCTGCCGAGCGGAGAGAGAAAGCGCATCAGGCTGCTCTGGCCGCTAGATCTAAGGAAAACCTCCGCAGTCCCATCTGCTGTATTCTGGGTCACGTCGATACCGGTAAAACTAAGCTCCTAGACAAGATTCGACAAACAAATGTCCAAGAAGGTGAAGCTGGTGGTATTACGCAGCAGATCGGTGCTACCTATTTCCCAGGTTCGTCCTAACACGTATTCTCACAGTGAAGGATTGACAGGTGGCTAACTTCTACTAGGCGACGCCATCAAGCAGAAGACCGCTGTCGTGAACCAGGACGGAAAATTCGAGTTGAAGGTTCCCGGTCTGTTGATCATCGATACGCCAGGCCACGAATCCTTCTCCAACTTGCGTTCCAGAGGTTCCTCGCTTTGTAACATTGCTATCCTGGTGGTTGATATCATGCACGGTCTTGAACCACAGACCCTGGAATCGATGAAGTTGCTTCGTGACCGGAAGACACCATTCATTGTAGCATTGAACAAGATTGATCGTCTTTACGGCTGGAAGAAGGTTGACAACAACGGATTCCAAGAGAGTTTGGCCCTTCAGAACCGAGGCGTGCAGAACGAATTCAAGAACCGATTGGAACAGACAAAGCTCGCTTTCTCTGAACAAGGTTTCAATGCTGAGCTTTTCTACGAAAACAAGTCTATGGCTCGATACGTCTCATTAATCCCAACTTCTGCTCATACAGGAGAGGGTATTCCCGACATGTTGAAGCTCATTGTGCAACTAACTCAGGAAAGAATGGTCGGATCACTAATGTATCTCTCCGAGGTGCAGGCAACCGTACTTGAAGTCAAGGCCATCGAGGGTTTCGGTATGACTATCGATGTCATCCTGTCTAACGGTGTTCTCCGGGAAGGTGATCGGATAGTAGTGTGTGGTGTTGAAGGAGCCATCACCACAAATATTCGAGCACTACTCACCCCAGCCATCATGAAAGAATTGCGTGTTAAATCACAATATGTGCACAACAAGGAAGTGAAAGCAGCCATGGGTGTCAAGATCAGTGCTCCCGGGCTCGAAGGTGCCATCGCTGGTTCTCGTTTGCTGGTTGTCGGTCCCGATGATGATGAAGAGGAGCTCGAAGAAGAAGTTGAAGCCGACTTGAACAAGTTGTTCAGCCGTGTGTCCACATCAGGACGGGGTGTCAGCGTGCAAGCATCGACCTTGGGCTCACTCGAAGCCCTTCTCGATTTCTTAAAGGATTGCAAGATCCCCGTCGCGAATGTTGGTATCGGCCCCGTATTCAAGCGTGACGTGATGCAGTGCGGTACGATGTTAGAGAAGAGCCCCGATTACGCTGTCATGCTCTGCTTTGACGTCAAGGTAGACAAAGAAGCACAAGCCTACGCTGAAGAGAACGGAATCAAAATCTTCACAGCCGATATCATTTACCATCTGTTCGATGCTTTCACCAAGCACATGGAGGAGCAACTTGAAAAGAAGAAGGAAGAGTCGAAATTGTTGGCCGTTTTCCCCTGTGTGCTTAACACGGTGGCGGTCTTTAACAAGACGACCCCTATTGTTGTGGGTGTTGATGTGATAGATGGCAATCTCAGAGTTGGCACGCCGATTGCAGCGATAAGGCAGAGTTCCACAGGTGCCAAGGAAATTGTGAGCTTGGGCCGAGTGTAAGTTTTACCCTAACGCGAACTAATTTTTCTCGCCTTTACTGACGGTTTATATGCAGTTCGTCAATTGAAAGAGACCATAAACAGATCCCCATCTGCAAAAAGGGGCAGCCCTCTGTGGCAGTTAAAATCGAGATGGGCGGCCACCAGCCAGCCTACGGCCGGCAGCTTGAAGAGAATGATACGCTTTACAGCTTGATCTCCCGCGCCAGTATCGACTGTCTGAAGGAATTTTACCGAAAGGATGTGTCAAATGACGAGTGGTCACTAATCATAAAACTCAAACCGATGTTCGACATAAACTAAAGAGATATTCAAGAAGAGGTCTGAAAAGAAATCATGATGGAATTGTTCTTAAGCGATGGTATCTTGTTTTAAGACAGGATGCCATGATTTCGAGTGCGAAGTAAAATAAGCGTTTACTACTATAGCGGCTACGAGTCAACTCTGGCGCTTCTGGTAAACATATGTATTTATGAGCAGACTACGACAAGGGGAAAATTTGACCAAGGAGGGGGGCTTATTGTCACGCGGAATTATAATGGAAGAGCCGATATCGATAGTTGCGCGAGTTGCACTAATTTTAACTCGATGATCTCCCCTTACTATTATCTGCCTTGCTTGATGTTTGTTTTATGTTATTGGGGCACCTCTCAGCCCGACACGGTCTGCCATAGGCTTGACGGCCCGTCTCATTAATTGAAGCTGTCTCGATCTATCCTGCCGCCCTTATCGACCTGCCTTGCCGTACCGACCTACCCTGTCGCTTCGATCGATGCCTCCCTTCAAAAAAGAGATCCTGGCGATGGTCTTCCTGCCGCCACAATGCTGTAACTACCTAGTGGCTTCTCGATTGTACGGCTTTAAAGGGCTCAAACAGCTTCGAAGGTCTGGATTCCTTCAAAACAACAAAAAAAAAACAAAAAAAAAACAAAAAACAATTGATCAGCTGTGTGTAAACGCGCCGCCAAGCCTATGGCAGACCGTATTATCAGGCCAAAGGGCGCCCAT